GAGTCCGAAGAAATCGTTGTTTCTAAAAAAGAGGTTAGTTCCGTTTTATCAGAAAACGCTATTTATTTTTTGTAGGGCTCGCTTAGAAGCACATTTGATTATCAATTTTTATAAATCTATCGATAGATGTCTGTGAAAAAAGTGTAAATTCAAGAAGTGAATGTTTAGTGTTAGTAAATCCAAAATCTTCTTTCTATAACGCTTTTAATTATATTCAGAAAGTTAAATAGTTTAGAGAAACGTTTTTTCTATTAAAAAATATTTTCAGCTTCGCGTTTTCGTCTTAAACTGCCTTGAAAAAGTTTCCTGCTCCCCTGCACACGCACAACAACTTGCCGACATTCTGATTTGCTCCGACTACCGTGGTCATTACTCCCACGGCTTGAATCGACTTCATATATACGTCACTGATTTAGCTGAAAAGTCAACGGCAAAAGAAGGTAAACAAAAGTCATCATTTCATAGTTGACTTTGCTTCAGCATTCAGACCATTTAGTATGTTGGCTCAAACAAAAAGCACTTTTCTACCCACATCACTGGGTTTTGCAGGAGAACCAGTTATTATCAAACAAAAGGGTTCCACCGCCTGGGTTGATGGTTGTAACCTACTTGGGCCGGTTGTAGGCAACTTTTGTATGAAACTAGCGATTCAGAAGGTGAGAAGACAAAATCATAAGTATTTGCAAAACACGTGTGATGTTAAAGCTTGAATAGGCTCGTGAACATGGCATCGGATGGGTAGTCGCAAAAAACTCGAATCACTTTGGCATTGCTGGCTGGTACGCCGAAGCAGCGCTAAAACAAGGACTTGTGGTGAGCATTCTATCAGATTTGATGCTGGAATCATTCTTATGATACTCTACATCAGGGAATGGCTTTCACTAACACATCTCCATGTGTCTTCCCTACCAACTCCGCCGAAAAAAGTCTTGGCTCAAATCCAATTTGCCTTGCTGCTCCCGCTCAGAATGGGGACTCATTCTTCCTAGATATGGCGTCAACTACAGTAGCTTATGGAAAAGTGAGTGAGATTTTCCCTATTTTGTCAGTTTTTATCTTAATTGGTGATCTTTTGCAGATAGAAGTCGTAGACCGCCGTGGAGGTAAACGAATTCCAAGAAATTGGGGAGCGGACGCAGATGGCATGGAAACGCAAGATCCTAAGGAGGTGCTCAATGGTGGAGGACTGCAGCCGCTGGGAGGATCAGAGTGCACAGGTGTTGCCTATTCGCCTATTATAATCTTATTAGAAGGGAAATCATACGCAACAGCGAGTAGTGCCATATTCGCAAAAAAAA